TTCATAGACATTAGTAATATTTTTAAAAACCACGTTTCTGTAGTGGAGAATAATAATTAAAAAACAAAAATTTGAAAAACGAAAAAGGTGGGGCGCATGAAATACATAACAATAACAGTATATGTGCTCATGAGAATGTGTATATGTATATCTGTAATTGCATGTGGTTGAAATGTGGATGTGGTTGCGCATGTGTATGAGTAAGAAAATGTGTATATGTACTACTATGTATTTCATACGCCCCACGTTCTTCGTCTTTCAAATTTCTCCTTTTTAATTATTATTCCCCACTACAAAAACGTGGTTTTTTAAAATATCATTTTGATTTTGATTTTTCTTTGTACTCACTTCCAAAATCTCAATTTTTTCACTCACTGTACACAAAACTTTTCAATTGACATGTGACACTAATTTGAAATAATCGAATCGACAACAAAAGACGATCGCGAAAATATTAATTTTTCTTTAATTTACTTTTATTTTACTTTGTAAGTATTTTTTCTCTTCATTTTCATGCATTGTCATCCAATTCTGAACTATGTGCCAAATTTGAAATCTGTAGCTAGTCGGGAAGTTAGCTTAAAATCGATTACAAAATTCCATCCGAAAAGACATACACGAAGGCAAGTTGATATAAACGTGGTAAAAAGAAGTAAATTAAGAAAATTATTAAGTTTTAATTACTGCGCATAACCTGCAAGTATATAGAACTCATGAAATAAGTTAAAGAATATAGAGAAAACATGGAAAATATTAAAGAAGAGATGAAGAAAAATTATTAAAATAAAATAATTAAAAAAAAAAATATTTGTTAAAAAGCCAAAAAACAAAAGAAAAAACAAAAATGAAGCAATATAATTTATTCATCAGCTCACACGATTATATCCGCAAAAGGGGGTGCTTTCCAATATTGTATCAATATAAAAGTAAAATATATTAATACAATAGTGTTGGGAGCACTAAAAAAATTGAAACAAAACAGAACACATTAAGTAAATCGATTACATGAAAAAAATAGAAAATAAAATGTAAAGAAGAAACTGAACAAAACACAAAACGAAGCCTATAAAGGGAGTAGCGAATTCAAATGAACTTACGTGTACGGGAAATTTCTCAAGAATGATTTAAAATATGTTCGTAATAAGATTGCCAGATTACAGAAAACAGTCCTCTGTGATTATGAAATGAGAATTACCTCTATTATGAAAACAGAAGTCCTCTATTTACGCTTTTAGCTCCATTTGTCTGTTTTCATATTTTGTACTGCCATTTGTCTGACTGTTTTAATTTTTTGTACTCCGGAAATCATGGTACGAAAATAATTTAATTGCAGTATTTATGCAATACTCCATGGAATCTCACTTTCGTCTTGTAAATAGATTTATGGAAACGTTATGATACAGAAAAAAAACGGAACGATTATGTAACAGTACAAAATAACTGTTACATCATCTCTAATAGAGGAATATAATAAAGAAATAAATATACAGTTGTACGAATTTTCTCAAGATTTTATTCATACATTAAATTTGGGATCAAAACTTCTGCTTTCTTTTCACATCTTGAATTTACATATTTAGTTGAAAATGACCACTACTGCATATTTTGAAAGGCCTGATTTAAATTCTGACGCAATGAAGAAATTACACTTGTGTTATTTAATTATCGTGTCACTACCGATTTTATTTTTTTAATTTTATAGCCGTCGTTGAACAACCGACCCAATTTTATGAGTTTACGACTACTAATGTTCAACTCCGTAGCGTTGTAATTTTGAACCAAATCCAGAAGGCAAAGGAACTCCTGGATCGAGTATTACTAGAAATTTGCCTACGTGGAGGACTTTTTGATGGAGCAAACCCACATTTGCGTTACATAGAGAGGAAGACCACGAGAACCTCCAACGGTTAGCCTGATGGCAAGGGGACAAACCCATGATCCGTCTACCACTGAGGATAATTCACGTCAGCACTGTGGTCGGCGCAAGTCAGATGCGGAATTCGCATCGACTGGGATTCGAACCCGGTTCGCCTCATTGGAAGGCGAACCCTCTATCTCCTGAGCCATCGCGGCTCTGTCACTACCGATTGGGGAAATCATACTCACGAACTCGGTTTTTATGGATCAACGAAGACATTTTTAAGAGTTGACAAATAAAAGAGTCATACTATCTGCATGAGCAATAAGTGATGCATGGACAGTCTCATCAAAAGTAGAAATAAATAATACAGAAGTATTTCTTTTGGAATATTCCATCCTTTTTAGAAAAGGAAAAAAAAAAAGAAAAAGAAAGATCTATAGTTTTAAATCATTTACTGATATCAAGTTCCATTCTTTATTATGCGAAAAACTACTAGGCACTATACAGAAATGAGACACACCAGTGTCAAAAAGTTAACAAAGCTTACACTTTAAGGTACCCGGATGTTTGTGTAGTGAAAGGCAACAACCTGCCTTCTTTTCACTTATTTTTTTCTTAAAGGCCACAGAATTGTTATTGTTTTTTCTATCTTAAGGTTGTTGTTCCCTTTCCGGTAATGGAGGTTATAACGTATTAAAATAACGTCATGAGTACAGTTCTACACTGTAAACAACTATGTTTCAAATACCAGAGTAGAACTTCACCAACGCGAAAAGGCTTAGTATGAAATACTGCTTTACATGAAACATGTCGCGTCCCGTGAGTAAACAATCAACTACTATTGTATTTTACACGTTTAACATCAAATTTTCAAGCTGATTATCACTTAACATGAAAGGAAATCAGAAATGTTTATGTAAGAACAGATAATAAGCTTGTAAATAAAGTAAATCATTTGCAAATTATTTAAGTTGAAATAAAATGTATAAAGTGCTGATAATTACATCATATTTTTCATTCGTTATTTTTAATAAAATAGTTCAACATTTAGTAAAAATTTTAAAGCTGATTTTGTATGGTACATAATTATATTGTTTTCATGTTATATCGGATAGGGTGAAATTTGGTAAACATGAAATAATTATGATAGTTCCATCGAATTCGTAGTAACGAGGTTTGACTGTAATCGCTTTTTCTCACCCAATCTATCAATCGTTATGCTTAAGTATTATCTCCAGCATATACGCAAACGATTT